AAGGCCATGTTAGAAAATCTGAGCGCTTCTGGAAAAACATTTTATGATCCGATGAGACTAAAGTTGAGCCATTTGGTCAACACCCAGGTAACACAATTCCTGTGATGAAGAATGGTGGCGGTAGCATTATGCTCTAAGGTTGCTTACCTCAGGAGGAATTGGGAAGCTTGTTGCCATCACAGGTAACAGGTATGGAACCAAATAGAACCAAATTGTTGAGTAGAACCTGTTCCAGTCAGCCAGACATCTGCATATAGGGGGGAAATATACAGTATGTTTCAACAGGACAATGAGCCAAAGCAAAGGGCAAAAACTACAAAAGAATGGCTTGGAAAAAAAGGTTTGTGTTTTGCAATGGCTAAGTCAAATCCTAGATTTGGATACAATTGAAAATCTATGGCATGACCTAAAAATTGCTGTCCCCACCAACATTCTCCTTCTAATTTGGTCGAGTTGGAGAAATTTTGCATTGAGGAATGGAAGAAATGCCAAAATCAAAATGTCCAAAGCTCATATAAACACATCTGAGACAACCCAAGTCTGTAATTGCTGCAAAAACAAAATTCACACTGAGGCAGTACACTTATCAATTATGCAGATTTTAATTATTTTTTTAAATTAATTCTGAGTATATCTAAGTATGTTACTTCATTTTATTTCTGTAGAGAGTCACCACAAAAAATTACATTCTAAATTTGATGTTGCAATACAGCAAAAAGGGGGGGGAGGGTTAGTGGTGGTGAATACTTTCTGGAATACAACATTATTATTCTGTCTCAATTTAGCAATGGAATATTGATTGGCACAATTTTGGTGCTGACTCCTCACTATTTAACTCTGAATATGCCCCATATTGATATGGTCTGTGTCTTCGTAAGATGGAGTCTGCATGTAATAATTAAGATTCTCTTCCACATTCCCAGATGGAGTGAAACCAACCCGACTTGGTATGAGTGCATCGCCCCTTGATGCTCAGCACACTAATGAGATAACTGCAGACGCTACAATCGCTGGTTCAGTGAGATCCTTGAACTCGGACAACGACAAAAACAATACCAATGCCAGTATGGAAACAACACTAGGTAATGCCATCGGTCCTGTTTTAATGCTACATTTAAACATTCTTAATGGAATAGAATAGATCCAGATCCAGAGGTTCTTGGGGAAAGTGATAAATAGGGTAGGTCTACTTTTACATCAGTTATCATAATCCAGATGACAGAAGTAAGAGGTGATTGTCATTCCTCTTATACGATGGAAACATGCCAAGGATTGCACAATGTCTTTGCTAAATAACAACAATGTCTTTGCTAAATAACAAAATGTCATTTTTTTTTTATCAATTTAGAATTACTTTTTATGAAACCAGATGCTGTTGTGAAAAGCAAGAAAATAAAAAGCAAGAGGATAATACTACTACTACTATTACCACTACTACTACTAAATAATAATAATAATAATAATAATAATAATAGTAAAAGGGGTATTAGCACTTAGCAATTAGATAACATGTCCAAGTGCAAAGTGAACTACATAATCCCTAAGGCATGCTTTTTTTTTAATCAACATCATAATTGTGGATGGAATAAACATCAATTCAACCTGTGAACAATACAATCTAAAATAACAAAACAAAACTTTGTTTTAGCATGAGGATGCGTTGTTCATAGACTACTGTACAAAGCACTTCTGTCACTCTGGATAAGGATATCTGCTGTAAATGTATATGTTGTAAATGTAAATGTACAAAAGGTTGGCACAAATATTTGTGTTGCACAAGTTCAGGTGACGAAGACAGCACAAAAATGTCAGCACAGATTCAGTGAAACTGATACAATATGGAGGCATCCATCACTTATTAGATGCATTAGCCTTGCCTGGCATTCTTGAAATTTTAACTCACCTTTTGGTTTCTACCACAAAACCTTAACCACTGAATTAAGTAAGGAGGAAAACACTTGGAAGAATACTATTCTAGGAAAATAATCAACGAAGAGGTAACGTGCTGTGACCTTTCCTGACGTTTCCAGCATGTCCTGACGTTTTTTTCTGTACCACAGAAATTTACTAACAATAACAATATTCTATCCATTAATGAAAGTTAAAAGTCGTTATATTTAATCATAGCAGCTACAAACAACCGTTCCCTCACCAGCCTTTATTTTATTCTCTCTCTTTTGAAGTTGATAAGAGAAAAATGCAGCTTGTCATTTACTGAGCCCTTTGTCCTGAAGACTTTCCCATGGCAAAAGATTTACAACTCCAAGTGCTACAAAGCTCTGACACTAAAGACTCCTTGCAACAATGCTACCTGAAAGTCTCCTCCCAGAAAGCTTCACCATATCAACAATTACAAGTTTTCTGGAATCCGTCAATATGAAACAATAACATATTGGAATGGAATATTGGAAGTGCGCTAATATAAACATGCAATTTGTCATAAAGGCACTTCTCAGAATCGAGAATTGAACTGCATTAGTGGTGTAAACCTGACCTATGAAAGTCATTTTTAATGACAACTGATGATAAAAATGTTTCAGTGAGAAGGCTATGAGTTCCTCAGGGAAAATAAAGGAGGGTGACTGTCACTCTGCATACCAAGGGCACTTGTAACTCAGAAACTAATTAGCAGGTAATTAGAAAAGTGTTCAGCCCTTGTCACATGTTGAGAAGCTTAAAGATATGTAGGATTTCTGTTGGTATGCATTATGGCATGCCATTAAACTGAGCACATACCCTCAGAGAGGCACGTTATTGAAATACATTAAAAATCAATTTGAAAGACACGTCAGAGAGAAAATGAGTGCACCTGGAAATTAATTAGAAGTAATTATGGATGGATCCATATGAGAGCGATAAGAGGACTGTACCTCCCAGGCGAAGAGTCTAATAAGAGCTGGATATCTCCATGCATTGTGAACATTCTTCTCTTTTTAGGAAGGAAATTATTTGCAGTACATGCAGAATGAAATGGAAAAAATGAATTTTTGCCATTTTTGTGTATTCATCATTCAGTAGTTTTTCTCCCTTGTGTCTCTAACATTGCAGCTCCGCCGACCAGCAATTTAACAACGACCAGCCTCACTCCAAGACAGAGAGATCCTACAAAAACTCAGCCTGAGGAAATTAAATGGGGTAAAGTGAATTAAACTTAGCATTCTCTCTCACACTCTCTCTCTTTCTCTTTGTTTCCCTCTTTGCCTCCTATTATTTCTCTCCTTATCATGTCCCTGTAGCTGACAGTGTACATTAACAGCTCCCTGTTCATGGAACAATGCACTCTGCTAGAGCAATAGCATGTCCACTCCCTGGCTATTTCAGGATCAGATAAATAGGGATTCACTGCTCGGACAGATGAGTGTGTATCTCTCATACCGTCTGTTAGTCACTGCAGACACACACACACACACACATATATATATATATATATATATATATATATATATATATATATATATATGTGTGTGTGTGTATGTATGTACTGATCAGCCATAACATTAAAACCACCTGCCTAATATCATGTAGGTCCCCCTTGTGTCGCCAAAACAGCTCTGACCCTTTGAGGCATGGACTCTACAAGACCTCTGAAGGTGTGCTGTAGTATCTGGCACCAAGACGTTAGCAGCAGATCCTTTAAGTCCTATAGGTTACGAGGTGGGCCCTCTATGGATTGGACTTGTTTGTCCAGCACATCCCACAGATGCTTGATTGGATTGACATCTGGGGAATTTGGAGGTCAAGTCAACACCTTGAACTCTTTATCATGTTTCTCAAACCATTCCTGAACAATTTTTGCAATGTAGTAGGGTGCATTATCCTGCTGAAAGAGGCCACTGCCATTAGGGAATACCGTTGCCATGAAGGGGTGTACTTGGTCTGCAGCAACGTTCATGTAGTTGGTATGTAGCAAAGTAACATCCACATGAATACCAGGACCCAAGGTTTCCCAGCAGAACATTGCCCAGAGCATCACACTGCTTCCACTGGCTTACCTTCTTTCCATAGTGCATCCCGGTGCCATCTCTTCCCCAGGAAAGTGATGCACACCCACCTGGCCATCCACATGATGTAAAAGAAAACATGATTCATCAGACCAGGCCACCTTCTTTCATTGCTCTGTGGTGCCATTGTAAAGAGATAATTAATGTTATTCACTTCACTTGTCACAGTGGTTTTAATGTTATGGCTGTGTATGCATACATGTGTGTATATATATATATATATATATATATATATATATATATATATATATATACACACTCCTGAACAAAATCTTAAGACCGGGGGAAACATTCCAAGTATTCGCATTTCGCACTGGTGGATCATAACCAGGTTGTAAGAACTGCTTCAAAATGTCAAAAGAAGAAAAAGGAGCAAGAGACAAAAAAACAGAGATTGGCAATTTGTTGAAAACTGCATTTAAACTCAAACAGGCTGTTCATCAGCTGATCAAAAGTTTAAGACCATAGCCCAAAAATACCCACAACAGAACTAAAAGTGTCAAAAAAGGACT